CAGAATGAATAACAAAGCACAGCATTGACGAAGTTGGTGTAATGTTAATTCAAAACTTATTTCAATCACCTCTCCCACACTTGTGCATCTGGTGTGTTTGTGTGTGTGATATGAATGGTAGTCTGTCAAATTCTATCTCTTTTTTTTTGGTACTGGGGCTAGAACTCAGGACCCTGTGCTTGTGAGACAGGCAGTGGAACCACTGAACTAAATCTCCGGCCCTGTCAAATTCTATCTTAAAAGAAATACTACTATGCAAAAAACTACCTTCTTTCTATACCCTTCCTTGACAAAAATATGTAACATTTGATATGTACCAAAATTAAATGAAACACATGTAAATCTCATTAATGATGCTAATTAATTCATGTTTCTTCCCTTTTGTCCATCTATTTATTTATTTATTTATTGGAACCGGGAATTGAACTCCTGGGGTCCTTGCACTTGTGAGGCAGGTGGTGGCACCACTGAGCTAAGTCCCCAGCTCCCCTTTTGTTCATTTAAATAATCTTTTAAATCATGTATTCTCCTCACTAAGAGTAACCATTTCAGCAATACTTCTTATCTCAGTGATGAGATTTTTGTGGGGTATGGTTCAGGGATTTTCAAAATGTTATTCAAACATTTGATTATAAAATTATTAAGCATATACAAAAATAAAGTGACAAGTGAAACGAGCTGCTACCTACTTGTTGTACTTCCACATCAACATATGTTAGATCTTATCTGTATCCCCTCTTCTCCCCTCACTGCATTCTGAAGCACTAGCATTTGTCTCTCAGATATTATGGCTCTTATTCAAAGCATAGCTACAGTGCTGTTTTCAAACTTAAAAATACTAATAATTCCATACTATATCAAGTATCCAGTGCTCAAATTTTCTAGTTTTTCTCATAAATTAAAAAAAATTTTATTAGTACATGTTTGCAGTATAGAATGATTACATTCACTGTAGGGAATTGGTATCTAAATTTTTTAAATAGTTGGTTTGTTTGAACTAGGATTCAAGTGCTGCCCAAATAATTGCATTTGGTCGAGACACATCTTAAGCCTCTTATAATCACAGCTTACTCCTCCCATACTCTTTTTTCTTGCACCATGTATATGTTATTTGTACTTGAGGATTTTGCTGATGGTATCCCCATGGTGTGATCTAAGGCATCCCTCCGTCTTCTGGTTTTGTAAGCTGGTAGATCTAGAGACCTGTTCAGATCCAGGTGCAGTTTTCCTTGGCCACTCTCTTTTTAGATGGGGTTGTGTATTCTGCAGGAAGCACATGGTGCTCAGCTACATCCTGTCTAACCTCTTATTTGAATCCTGGATGTGTGGTGAACAAGAACATGGGAGAGGAAGCTGCTATATTTGGGGTGAAGTAGGGGTGAAGGAGATGATTACTTCTGATAAAGCATTCCACAGTTCTAGGTAATATCAATTTATTTGTGTTTACTTGTATTCTGTTTTATTAACAGAAATCCCACTGGTGAACACAGCTCTTCATAGGTACCAGTAGTGCTGCATCACGGGAGAACTGGTGGTGTCAAGTGGCAAAGTGAGGCTTTTCACAGGGCTCTTGCTTAGATCACCAGAGGTGGCCTAATTAGGACTCGTGGTTCCTGGAACATTAAAAGATGTGATACATTGTAAAGGCCCCTCCATGGCAGGGAGATATCTCTGTGGGTTCGTGGCTTATTAAGTGCCAGATGCTCCCATCTGTATTGAAAATACTATCTTGTTTATGTTATAGGCCAACTCTAACACTTGTAGAATGTTAGACCTTAGTTTAAAATCAATCGGTTTCAGAAATGCATAGGTACATATTAATTTATATCCCCATTGACTGTAAAGTACAAAAGATTATTTTGATAAGCTAAACATATATACGTGTCAACAATTACCTGGATAAGGGCAGACAACTTGTTTTAAACTAAGTTCCCAAGTACCACAGATGACGTGGAGTAAAACCCTTAAAGCTCATTGGCCAAGGCTCTAGGACAAAAAGGACAGTGAGGGAACTTTGGGGTGAGCTATCTTATTGCAGACAACCTTCAGACACTCCTAGTGCCCGCGGGGGGTGGGGTGGCAAATGAGAGAATATGAAGACAGAATGAATAACAAAGCACAGCATTGACGAAGTTGGTGTAATGTTAATTCAAAACTTATTTCAATCACCTCTCCCACACTTGTGCATCTGGTGTGTTTGTGTGTGTGATATGAATGGTAGTCTGTCAAATTCTATCTCTTTTTTTTTGGTACTGGGGCTAGAACTCAGGACCCTGTGCTTGTGAGACAGGCAGTGGAACCACTGAACTAAATCTCCGGCCCTGTCAAATTCTATCTTAAAAGAAATACTACTATGCAAAAAACTACCTTCTTTCTATACCCTTCCTTGACAAAAATATGTAACATTTGATATGTACCAAAATTAAATGAAACACATGTAAATCTCATTAATGATGCTAATTAATTCATGTTTCTTCCCTTTTGTCCATCTATTTATTTATTTATTTATTGGAACCGGGAATTGAACTCCTGGGGTCCTTGCACTTGTGAGGCAGGTGGTGGCACCACTGAGCTAAGTCCCCAGCTCCCCTTTTGTTCATTTAAATAATCTTTTAAATCATGTATTCTCCTCACTAAGAGTAACCATTTCAGCAATACTTCTTATCTCAGTGATGAGATTTTTGTGGGGTATGGTTCAGGGATTTTCAAAATGTTATTCAAACATTTGATTATAAAATTATTAAGCATATACAAAAATAAAGTGACAAGTGAAACGAGCTGCTACCTACTTGTTGTACTTCCACATCAACATATGTTAGATCTTATCTGTATCCCCTCTTCTCCCCTCACTGCATTCTGAAGCACTAGCATTTGTCTCTCAGATATTATGGCTCTTATTCAAAGCATAGCTACAGTGCTGTTTTCAAACTTAAAAATACTAATAATTCCATACTATATCAAGTATCCAGTGCTCAAATTTTCTAGTTTTTCTCATAAATTAAAAAAAATTTTATTAGTACATGTTTGCAGTATAGAATGATTACATTCACTGTAGGGAATTGGTATCTAAATTTTTTAAATAGTTGGTTTGTTTGAACTAGGATTCAAGTGCTGCCCAAATAATTGCATTTGGTCGAGACACATCTTAAGCCTCTTATAATCACAGCTTACTCCTCCCATACTCTTTTTTCTTGCACCATGTATATGTTATTTGTACTTGAGGATTTTGCTGATGGTATCCCCATGGTGTGATCTAAGGCATCCCTCCGTCTTCTGGTTTTGTAAGCTGGTAGATCTAGAGACCTGTTCAGATCCAGGTGCAGTTTTCCTTGGCCACTCTCTTTTTAGATGGGGTTGTGTATTCTGCAGGAAGCACATGGTGCTCAGCTACATCCTGTCTAACCTCTTATTTGAATCCTGGATGTGTGGTGAACAAGAACATGGGAGAGGAAGCTGCTATATTTGGGGTGAAGTAGGGGTGAAGGAGATGATTACTTCTGATAAAGCATTCCACAGTTCTAGGTAATATCAATTTATTTGTGTTTACTTGTATTCTGTTTTATTAGGAGATGTCAAAAGATTGGGATGAGAAATGACTTGTCTGTTTTGAAAAATAGCGAAGTGTGTGAATCTGTCAGGTGTAGTTGAAAGTCTTCATGCAGGGAATGTACATACACTTCAGAGAAGAAAAAAGAGGTCATAGAGGTGTACATGACCCAGGGCATTCCTATTGGAGCGCTTCATTTAAGCCAGACAGAATTTGAAGTATGCTACTTTATTAGAGATTGTCAAAAGATTGGGGTGAGAAGTGACTTATCTGTTTTGAAAATAGGGAAGTGTGTGAATCAGTGCAGCTAAGGACGTTCAGATATAGGACTTTGTGTGACATATGTTTTTGTTTTTTCTTGGACATATGTCGTGAAGTGAAATTGCTGGATCATGTAGTAAATATACGTGAAACTTTTAAAAATCAGCCAAACTGTTTTCCAAAGGGTCTAGTGTAGCTTAATAGTGCAGGGAGGCTTCCTATTTGTCTATGTCTGTCTGGCCTGGCCTCTTAGTATTTGTGCAGATCTGGGTGAACTTTAGTTTCCCTTTCATAAGGCAGGTGGGCAGCTCACTGATATTTACCAAGGACCTGCCCTCTTCTAGACCCTGTGGTGGGAAGACTCACATGCTTTGCCATGTTGCATTCTTATCACTGTGAAATGTAGATATTATTTTCTACATATCTGATGTATTTACTGAGGTTCAGCAGACTTAGCTAAACTAGTTATCACTGTAATGCAGGATTCTTATAAATATTAAATTAAATAACACACACAAACATGTCTAGCGTAGTCTCAGGCATACAGAATGTAACTAATAAAGAGTTTTTTATTTTTCTGCTTTTTTCCTTCATTAGCTTCTTAGGAAGGGTCCAACCACAGGGTCTGACCCACCTTGTTGGGCCTCACCCCTTTTCTGGTAATAGCCACCTGTTCTAAGACTGTCACACCTTGGAGAAACTTTGTAGGATTTGCTCTGCAGTCACAATCACACAAGTGGCACAAATATCATAAACCCAACCCCTGAGTCAGATAATAGAGTCTTTGTTGATTAGTTCAGGATGTAATTATATCTTGTAACTTCTATTTATTATTTTCTTTTGTCCTCTGTTTATTATAGCAGCAATTACTTTTCTAAATTCTAAAGGAAGGAGATCTGAAAAAAGTATATGTTAATGTTGCCGAGAAGTTAACTACCTGGATTGATTCAAAATGGACCCTAATTAGTGTTTTAAAGATTGTGTGACTGACAATAAGAAATAAAACAAAAGGTGATAACATGTCAGAATAGGAAAGTAATTTAGGAGAAAAGGGGTTCAGTTAATATCTTAATCAAATTCAAAGGTTTCTAAAATATTAAATGTATCATTGAATGTGCATATTTAATGAAATATTCCGCAGTATAAAGGGTTTTTTTTAAATCACTAACCTATCGTTCATTATGTCTTTCAGGGAGAGCCTGGCGCCAGAGGCCCTCCAGGTCCCTTTGGGCCTCGGGGCATAGGAACTCAAGGGCCAAAGGTGAGTGTTCAGCTCTGTGATCTACCTGGGGTCAGAAGCAGGGTGAGCATCTCTAATCTGAAAATCCCAAATCTGAAATTTTTCAAACTCCAAAGTTTTGGAATGCTGTGTCACAGTCCGAGCTGGAAGGGTGAAGAAATCTGTATTGGAAGTCTGCAGATAGATGTTGAAAGTCTGAAGGCAGAGGCAAATATTAGAACTCCTCCAAAGAAGCAGAAGAGAGACCTCCTTCTTTCCTTTTTTATTCTATTCAGGCTGCAAGCCTATTGGTTGGTGCCACCCATAGCCAGGGTGGGTTTTCCCTCTTCAGTAAGTCTGTCATTCAGTCACACCCAGGGCTGTGCCAAGCCAGTCGGCTGGGTGTTTCTTACTCAACTTGACAGAACAGTTAACTGTTAGAAGCACCAACTTGACCCTGAAAGTAGAAAGTTTCACATGCTATTATTTACTTGGTTGGCACTAATGGTGCACGTTGAATATCCCTATTAGACATGCTTAGACCAGAAATATTTCAGATTTTGGATTTTTAAAATTTTTGAATATTAGATAAACTTAATGAAGCATTTGAGAATTGGGACTGAACTCTAACCACAAAACCCATTTAGTTGTCCTATTAACGTAGCCTTAAGATACTTTTGAACAATATGTTTTGTGAACTTGGGTTTTGCCTACCACCTGTCCTATGTGGTCAGATGTGATTTTGTTTGCAAGCAATTTGACTGAACTAAACTATTTAGAAAAACTCTGCTTTATTTATTTTTTTTATTTTGTTTATTGGCACTTTTCAAGAATACAGTACAGTTACATTTATCATTGGGATCTGGTACTTTACATGACAGATCTTGGTTCTTGTTTTTTTTTTCCCCTTGTCCCTGCCCTCCCTTCACCCCCTCTATCCTCCCCTATTTACAAAGACTTTGTTTCCATTTTTTCCTTTTCTCATTTTTTTCTTTTCCTTTATTTCCTTTCCCCTACCCTTTCCACTTCCCCTACACCTTTAGCCCCTTTCTTCCTATTTCATAGTCAGTTATACAATTTGGATCTTATTTACACTTTTAGTTTTTCACTCCAGAGAAACTATTCAGTATTTACACGTGTGTCTTATGTATTTCACTTAAGTGTATGGCCTCAATAAGAAAAACTCTGCTTTAAATAAGAATTAAATCACTCATGGACAGAGAGAAGGTCCTGATCAGACTGAAGTAAGGATAAAGCTGAGCAGTAATATTTGTTTTATCTTCTTCCTTAGTCTTCTTATACCTTGTTTTCAATTTCTTCCCATCTTCCCACAGGGTGATATTGGGCAGAAAGGCTTGCCTGGCCCTCCTGGGCCACCGGGCTATGGATCCCAAGGAATTAAAGTAAGTGAATGGATTGTGTTGTAATCATCTCTCAGGTCAGTAGTTTGCTTAGGAGAAAAGACTGGGGATAATACAAATAATGGTGATTATGAGATGGATTTAATGGGAGGTTAGCAGTTAAATTTTCATCCAATATATATATACATGTACATATATATATATATATTTTTTTTTTTGTGGTACTGGGGATCGAACTCAGGTCCTTGCGCTTGCGAGGCAGGCCACCGAACTGCTGAGCTAAATCCCCGGCCCAAAATTTCATCCAATATTTAAAGACATTATCCAGAAGTGTAGAAATGCAATAAATATAATAGTTCTACAAATGCTAGACATTACACAAATTGCCTAATGAAAACTTTAACTTTTGTTGTTCTTCCCGGTTTCTCAGAAGAATGGAGACTTCGTGTTCAGCTCTGCATTCTCTCTCTCTACTTCCCTCCCTCTTCCTCCTCCTCTCCCTCTCCCCCTTCACCCATACCCGCTCAACTGTCCTCCCACCTGCATGTTCCCTTCATAACCATGAGGTAGGGGACAGAGGGCAGAATGCGAGGAGCTTCCCAGCCTTCGCTCACGAAGGAATCACCTGAAGATTGGATTCTTATCAGAGGGTAGACTATGAGTATTGTGATTTTTTAATTGAGTTTATTGGTACTTTTCAGGTATCCAATACAGTTACATTCATCATCGTACCCTTACATGATACATCTTGGTTCTTATTTTTTCCCCATATCCTATTTACAAAGACTTGTCTTCCATTGTTTCCTTTTCTCATATTTTTTCCTTTCCTCTATCCTTCCCCCTTCCCTTGCTCCTTTGGCCCTTTTCTTCCTATTCTACATTATCAATTATACAATTTGAACTATATTTACACTTTCAGTTTTTCACACCAGAGAAACTATTCAGTATTTACACATGGTCCTATTTATTTCCCTTAAGCGTATGGCCTCGATATGCATCTATTTAGCTAATAGACTCTAGTTTCTCATTCTTTATGGCTGAGTAGTTTGAGTATTGTGATTTTAAAAGTTCCCCAGTAGAATTCACAGATACCTGCTTTCTGGTTTATTTTTGCTTTATTATTGCTAGATAACAAAAAACCTATCTAGCAAGGTGAAATTCTCAAGGTCTCCCATATTTCAGTAGACATAATTTGGTGTCTTAAAGGTTATCAAGTATTTGAAAGAGTTTATTCCCCCTTTTTCTTTTTCCCCGCCATATTTCTTTTATACAAAGTCTCACTCTGTAGCCCAAGCTGGGCTTAAATTTGTGTGGGTCTTTGGCTTCAGCCTCCCAAATGCAGGGATTACAGGTGTGTGCCACCACACCCAGCCCCCTTTTCCCCTTTATATGTGATTTTGTGTTTAACTTGGCTCATTTCTCTATCCCCTCCCTGTAATAAATTGGTATTCATTATCATGGGTATGCTTTGAGATTGAGTCATTGTTAACTGGTAACTTTAGATAATTAAGATTGATTCTAAAAAGGGAAATATTCAAAACAAACCTTTACAAATAGCAGAACTTAGTAAGTAGGAGACAGAAGGAACCTAAGATAATAAATGTTGAAGTCCTGTGTTGGCATTAAATACTTACTCCTGGGTAGAAAAAATGAGCTGAGTCAAAAGCAAAGCTCAGTGAGTCTGTGTTGAATCTTCTAATCCAGTGATGGTGAACCTTTTAGACCTTTCAGTGGTAAGAAGCAGCGTGCTCCAGCACATGTGCCATGGGTTTGCCAACCCTGTCGATCTGTTGTCCAGAGTTTTCATGGCAGGTCTTTTAATAACAGTTGTTCATCTGTCAGGTTGAGTATCCAAGCAAAGACCAGAGAGCATGTTGCTGATAGCATACAGGCACTGGAAAGTAGAGCACAACTCTGCTTCTGTATAAACATCATTCTCATACTTAATCCTTAAATTGTATGCTTAAAAGATGGTAATGCTCTCTCTACAAGGTGTTGTGTGGGTTTGCTCCAATATGAGCTCAATTCACTAGTGTTAATTTATTATATCTATGTCTTAAATCTGATGCCAGCTTTCTCCTTTCTATCTGGAAACATTTCCTTTTTTCGTACTGGGGCATGTTAAGTTGCATTTAATTAATCTTCATCAACCATGAGTCCTCTGGCTTCAGACCCTTTCTTATGCCCTTTATTTTATACTGTGTTCAAATCTGTCTGGAGTGAAACTAGGTTATGTGATGGGTAGTAATCAAGTCAGGGCAGATTTTGGAAACAAAAACTGATATTA